TGAGACAGAGTTTCACTCGGTGGCCCTGGTTAATGTGTCATGGCATCATAGCTCACAGCAACCTCAAACTCTTGGGGTTAAGTGACCCTTTTGCCTTAGCCTTCCAAGTGGCTGCAACTACAGACACCTGCCACAATGCCTGGCTAGTTTTTCTATTTTTAGTAGAGATGGGGGTCTCACTCTTACTCAGGCTGGTCTCGAACTCTTAAGCTCAGGCAATCCACCTGCCTCCGCCTACCAAAAGAGCAACATTTCTAATTATTGCACCCGACAAATCAGAAAGCTCAACAGGCCTGCAGTTCTGCAGTAAGAATCCCTGCAGGGGCAGTAAACTTTCATACCAGCCACCGTCAAGCCCGGTGATTGATTGCTCTGTGTTTGCCTGATCAGATGCCATGATGGAGTAACAAACTGACTTGTAAATCCTGTAAAAAAGAACTCTTCCAATGGGCGGTGCCTGTGGCTCAAAGGAGTAGGGTGCTGGCCTCATCCCATATGCCAGAGATGGCAGGTTCAAACCCAGCCCTGGCCAAAAATTGCAAAAAAAAAAAAAAAGAAAGAACTCTTCCAACAATGGTTTTTCCCCTGGAAGTGTCCTGGTTTTCTGGGGGGTGTCCATTGTTTAGACCCAGGTTGGCAGAGCCGCAGGGAGGAGGAATCGAGAGAAGCTGTACTTGCAGGAGAGGACCCCAAAGTTCACAGAAACTACAGAAGCAAGCCAGGAGGTGCAGGTGGGCAGCGCTAAGGAGACTGCTCCAACCCCAGCAAGTGCTGCTGAGCAGACCCAGCCTCTTGGTAGAAATGTTCCAACATAGGCCGCAGACTTTTTCCAAGCTGTGTACACTGGCTGACCTGGAATCTAGCCTGGTGCACTTCTGCAGCCATCACCGGGGTCATTAACATATCTGGAAGGGTCAGCAGGGAATCGAAACCAAATTCAGAATCACAGAGAGGATAAGAAATAAAAATCTCGACATAATAGATTGTAGGTCTAAATACTCACAAAATACTGACAATATGCTTTGACCCCTTGTGCCATGAAAGACGTTGTCCTCTTCCTGCTGTTTCCTCAGGGCCCAGAATAAACAGGCTGGCAGTTTGGAGCACCTCTGGTGTACCACACAGTAACTACAGCGCATCATCAAGTCTTCGTCCTGTGGGTAGCTATTACTCCGCTTGTCCTATCCAAGGAAACTTGGAAGGGTAGTCACTTGGACAAGGGTGAATGGCTAGTCAGGGCAGGCAGACAGCCCTCTAAATCTGTGGGTTCTGCATGGATTCAACCAACTGGGGATTGAAAATATTTTTTGGGAAAAAAAAAAGGTGTCTATACATCTGCACTAAACATGTACAGACTATTTTTTCTTGTAATTATTCCGCCAACAATACAGTGTAACAACTATTTACGTAGCATTTACACTTACTAGGTTTATTAAGTATGAAGTACTCAGGGGGATGTGTGTGGGTTATATGCAAATACTGCACCATTTATACAAAGGATTTGAGCATTTGTGAATTCTGGTGTCTGCAGGGGGTCTTGGAACCAATCCCTTGTGGATGTGGAGGGACAACTGTTGTTTCTTCACACGTGTTATCACACTTATAAGGTGGAAATGAATCTCTGTCCTGCAGAGGTTAAAGATAACGTCTGTGGTATGCACAGCTCCTGGCTTAGCACACAGGGCACCAAAGACAACAATTTCCTCTTGAGAGAATGGAGGGCAAGGCTCTCCCCCAAGCAGGGATGGAGGGAGCAGAGGCAACGGAGGAACCCAGTGAGGATCTAAGCCCTGTGCAGGCTGGGCCTGGCTCAGTCCTTGCCTCTGTGACTGCAGGTCACCTTGGCTCCTTACCTTTTCTGAGCTGCAGGCCTTCCCCTGTGATGCAAGGACAAAGGATGACCTGCCTTGTAGAGCCGTGGGAGGCAAGTAAGATCGTGGGCCCCTTTGCCTACTCTAGCTCCAGAGAAGCCCCACAAGTCTTCCTCTCTAACTCCCAGCATCTCTCCCTGCTTTTCACCTCTGGCAGAAGCTTGGAAAAGTCATCCCCTTTGGGAACAGTTACAGCCAAGACAGGGCTCCCCCTGCAACCCATTTCTAAGGTCCCTACTTGGTTCCCTACAGTAGGAACTGAAACTTCCCTCTGTGACCCTCAAAGGACCTCATGCTCTTATTTCCTTCTGGGGAGTGTCACTGTAGCTTTTGAGCATCCAAAGAGTCCATTTGGAAAGGAAAGCTAGCCAAATAGAGCTGCTCCGAGGAGACCAAGGGTCTTACAGTTTTTTTGAGACAGAGTCTCAAGCTGTCCCCCTTGGAAGAGTGCCATGGCATCACAGCTCATAGCAACCTCCAACTCCTGGGCTCAAGCGAGTCTCCTGCTTCTGCCTCCCAAGTAGCTGGGACTACAGGCGCCCGCCACAACGCTCGGCTATTTTTCGGTTGCAGCCATCATTGTTGTTTGGCGGGTCCAGGCTGGATTTGAACTCGCCACCTTAGGTGTATGTGGCTGGCGCCTTAGCCACTTGAGCCACAGGCACCGAGCCAGGGTCTTATAGTTTTAATAGCTGTTTTCCGAAACTGTCTTCCAAACTCCACACACACAGATACACCCCCTCGCTCTCGCTCTCTCTCTAACAAACACCCAAGGTTCAGCAGGAATCAGAGGAAAACAGCTTGGAGGAAGTACAGCTGTTCCCTCTGAGGAGCTTGCCTGGGGGAGGCCAGGCCTAGGAAGAGGGGGTGTTCCCTGGACAGCGACAGGCAGCATTCCTTTCCCGTGAGGCAGTCAAGCCTGAGGAGTTGCAGTCTCCCGTGGGAATATGACATAATCTTAGGTGGGAAGGCCTTGAAAAAACAGACTGGTGTCCACATATCCTTCTCCACAGGAACCCCCTCCCATCCTGCGTGCAAGAACTCTCTAGGTCAGCGGAGGGTCAGCTACCCCATCTCCAGCCAGACAAATACCCCAAAGTCACAATCTGATAGGATGTGTTTATATTTACATGGTACATTTTAAAGCAATGGCTACGTTGGTCATACATATTAGAAACCATAAAAAAAAGTTAAGAACTAAAATGTACATCATACACTTGTATATATATTTTTTACACAGAGGTAAAAAGGCTTATTATAAAAAAATCAATACAACAGGGTTTTTAGTATACAGGTAAAGAATGAATTATGCTTCAGGCACTTTAATTTGTTAATGTGAGCAAATAGCTTGGGGGGGTGTCGGGGAAGCTTCTGGACAGTAAATCTTTTGGTTAATGTTTTGTTACCACAGATATAAAAATAAAATCTGAATAATTTCTCTCAAATGATTGACGTCAGTATGGCAAAGCTGACTGGGAAAATACTACACACTGCCAGCTGCAGTGTGGCAACGAGAGATGTATTTACATAAATGTCCCCATGGCTATCTTTGTGCCCTTAACCACTGCCTTCACAAACCAAAAAGCATACGTGGAGTAAGATTTGCTAGCGTAAGGACAAAGGGTGAAGGAAGAGAGAAACATTAATGACCAGAGGTGACGGAAGAAGAGCAGCTGGGGTACGTGTGTTGTTATTGAAATAAATAGGGACACTTGAACGGAGGTCTGATGAAACATACATTAGTGTTGTGCTTTGTAGAGAGGAGACCCTAGAGAAAGACCCTGAGGGAACGCCTCAGGGAGGAGGGGAAGATGGTCTCCAGACAGGGCTGGAGGCTGGCTGTAGGTTCTCTAGATGTTTTCCAGGCATGGAAGAGGTTTTCTGTTCTTCCATCCATCTAGACAGCTCTCTATTCCTTTTCCAAACTGGAAAGCCCAAATCAGTGACTCCAACAAATGAAAACGTCTAACCAACTAACTCATAAACACACTTGGTATTTACACTGCCCATCTGACTAAAGAAATCAACGTGGGCTCTCAGGGGAGCCGAAAATACCCCCATGGAGGTGAGCACGGCTAGCACTTTCCTAATATGATTGGCAGACTGGAAAAAAGTCCCTTTCCTTGAAGACTGATGTCCTGTGTACAAGAAAGGACAGGGAAAGGGAGGAGGGGGGAGTTGGGCTATGCCTTTTGCTGGCCATTACCACAGAAAGATCATGGTGGGAAGAGTAGCCAGCATCAACAGGCCCATCCCCTGTGGTCTCCACGATGTTCTGATTGTACTAATGCTAGGTACAGGTAACTACTCTTCACTTCTCTGCTTTCTTTGATAAGAAGATTTGGCTATTTCTTGCAATATATTAGAAAAATACTCTTTTTCCAGCTAATTAGAAACCTCCTACGTGGCCAGGCGACAGGGAGAACCAGTTGGCTGACCTAACCATCTGTGCACCCAAAATGGCAAGTCTGGGTTTGGAGTTGCAGGAGAAAGACACTTAGGCATTGGAAGGGTTTTTACATATGGCCTTGTTTTTTCCCAAGTATAAATGAAGAATTTGGTGATGTGAAATTGAGTCCAAAGCAAAAACAAAAACATAAACCCATGAACAAAATGTAACCCACCACTCTTCAAATTACGACATTTAAAACCCGCCTCCCCCAGTTAATATAAAATAGCTACTGGAGGGGCGAGGGGGAGGAAGCGCCTATAGTTTTATTCATTACTACATTAGTGTTTCTCAATCGGAACTTATTTGTACAACACTGGTTTGTGTCTGAGTAAACTATCTGGTTTGTAAAATAATGAACAAAAATTTCTTACTTCATTAGTGTCATTCTAATATTGTGAAATTTTTACAAGTGGTGGCAACACAATTTTAAAAAATTCTACTTTCGGGATAACTGGGGAGGCTCATAGAACCTGAAATCCCCTTTCTAGCCCTGGTCCAAGAGGCTGCAATGCAGTTTAAGGAATTTTCCTGATTCTTACAAGTTAATCTGAAGTTAAGGCTCGATTCTCAGTCATTTTATGGGTAAATGTTTTGCATCAGTGAATAACTTCGAGAGACTTTTTTTTCTTGGGTACAGATAATGACGATGGGCTAAAGATAGAAACTGCAGCTTACACGGGAAATTTGGCTTTAGAAAAGTTAAAGCGCTATTGTTTTGTGGTACAAGTAGGTTAACTAGCTCACCTCCTATACATAACCACTGCAGGTTTAAATACTTCTGGTAGGGTTTCATCATTCTGACATCACACGGAGGCAAGCACCTGATGCCGCTGGCAATGGGCAAGCTGACCCAAGAGAAACACAGTCTTCATACTCTTGGAAAAAAATCAACTACAAAACCCACCAAAAATCAGCAGTTCCAACTGCAGGCTCCTTTGAACTGGATGAAGTGGGGGAGGAAAGAGGAAATCAACGCATGGGTAAGACAGTGAGCTTGGTTCCAGATTGTTAATAATACACGCAAGTCTACGCTGAAAGTTCCTTCCTCAGAACACCGTGTGGGCGTGTGCACGGGTGTGCGGCGATGCGGGGTGGCTGGCCCGGGCAGTGGAGCCCGCCAGGCAGTGCGGCCCGCCAGGCCGGGCCTCGCGTTCTCCCCGCGCTCCCCGCGCCCGGGAGTGGAAGGGAGCATGGGAAGAGATGAGAGTAGGTGAGAGACGACGAGTTCCCGCGGGCGGCCCTGGGCGGAGTGGCGAAGGGGGAGAACCGGAGTCAGGCGGCGGCTTTGTGCTTCCCGCCGCAGCACCTGCACATCACTCCGCAGTGGTAGCAGGCCCGGAGGGGCAGGTAACAGCACATACAGGGGGCCAAGAAAGACAAGGCAATAAGGGCCATCCACCGGAGGCAAAACTTCTCGTCGCTAGTATCGCACGAGCACGGGTCCGTATAGTCGCCCTCGGGGTCCGACATACAGTGGTAGAGCATGCTGTCCGCACACCACATACAGCTCACGCGGCGGATGCAAGTTCGCACGGAGTCGGGCGCGTCCTGGCAGTGGCCCCTGCGGTTCTCCTCGTGGTTGAACATGTCCCTGCAGTACACGCACCGCGAGCGCTCCCCGTCCTCCTTCCGCCGCCGAGACTTGCCCCGCGGCGGCTGCGTCTTGATCACGCCGCCCCCTCGGCCTTTGGGGTCCTCGAGGCCGAAGTCCGACGAGTCCACGTAGGGGTAGTTGTAGTCGTGCTTGGGGACCTCGCCCTTGGCGAAGCGCACGTAGTAGTCCGCGTCCTCCGAGGGGTCCGGGTACTTGCCCCTGACCGGCGCGTGCCGGTAATCCTCGTACCCTGTCATCCAGATCTTCTCCCGAGGGTTGATGCGGACAATCTCCTCGTCGTCGTCTGGGAAGCTCACCTGACGGTAGGGCCTTGGCATCGGCTGCTCCGGGGAAGACAAGACATTATTTTGTGGCAGTAGCCAGAAAAAAAACACCCTCTCCCTCCCCAGTCCTTCAGAGTGTACCTTTCACCTCCACAGAGGCACTTCTCCTAGAAACTGCCCCCATCCTGCAGTGACCGGACATTTTGTCCATCAGTCAGAGAGGTATTTCTGAGTCTCAATCCACTACTGGGTCAGAAAATCAATTCAGTGAGTTGAAATCAGCAGTGTTTGCCCTGTAGGTTGAAGTGTTAACTGCAGGCCAGAAGGTACCACAGGGCAAGCGCGCAGGAGCCCCACATGCCCCATTGGGAGGTACAGCAGGGCCTGCCCTGGTCCTAGGGTAGAGGTTAGGCTGATTTCTAACAGCTTGGATAGCTTTTGTCTGTTTTCATACAGTATGTTTCCTTATGTTAAGACTGACTGTTTTTTTTTTTTCCTGAGGTATAGTCTCTGTGCTCTGGGTAGAGTGCCATGGTGTCAACATAGCTCATAGCAACCTCAAACTCTTAGGCTCAAGACGTCTCTTGCCTTGGCCTCTGGAGTAGCTAGGACTACAGGCCACCCACTACAATGCGAGGTCATTTATTTATTTATTTTTTAAGAGACGGGGTCTTGCTCTAGTTCAGCCTGGTCTCCATCTGCCTTGGCCTCCCAGAGTGCTAGGATCACAGGGGTGAGCCACCTGGCAGGCCTTACTTTTTATATTTTTAGAAGCGATGGGGGTCTCTCTTGCTCAGGCTGTTCTCCAACTTCCTGAGCTCAGGCAATCCACCCACCTCAGCCTCCCAGCCTGCTAAGATTACAAGGGAGAGCCACTGTGCTGGGCCTGCTTTTTTTCCCAAATGAAATAGAATAAGGATGATGAAATGCACCACATGTTACAAGGGTTAAGTACTGTGTCCTGAGATTTCCTTAAGCTGTGTGTGTGCAGTGTGTATATGCTGGGTCACATGGTAGCATCCGTCTCTCACTGGGAGTCATGCTTCAATGTATAGTAGAGGCATGCTAGTAATTTTACGCCTCACCTTGTAATCTGGCTGGGAAAATAAGAGGTGCAGATGAGAGTAAGAGTAAAGGTCCCCACAGCTGACTGCCTGGGTTTGAGTCCTGCTGGGATCTTCCAGACAGTGTGGGGCCAGGCCCAGAGCCATACCCTCTCACATTCAAATCCAAACTGCATTCTCCCTTAGGGTCAAAGAGGCTTTTCTCTACTGTTAGTCCTGCTACAGTTTACACCAGTACCTTGTCCCGAGTGGCAGGCACTGAATAAATATTTATTGCATAGATACGAGCAACCCCGCCTTGCTCAGGGCATCTCAGCTGAGACTGAGAATGAGATTTCCCCCCTTCTAAGCCCTCTGGGCATGAAAAATTTTCAAGGGGCGAGGAACATGGCTCTGAAGTGACCCATTGCAGCCAAATGCTGACTACAAATTTACTAGCAAGTCAGTATGACTCGGTTTCCTGTTACCAAGCTGCACAGGCCCATTGTGAGAACAAAGAGAAATGATTTGTGCAGAGTGTCAGCTCCAAGCCTGGCGCACAGGGCACTCTGGATACCTGCTGCCGTCACTGTCATTATCACATGGTAATTAGATTTACTGATCATGCCCCACCAAATTAGAAGCTTCTTGAGGACAGGGGCCATGTCTCTGTCTCATACACTTTGGTTTAATTCCCATCAGACTCCTGTTACCAGTTTCCTGGACTTTGGAAAACTACAATTCTGAAGCTTGGGAGCTGATATGGGCTTTATTAATTTTTATTTTGCAAAATAAGGAAAAGTTAAAGAGAAAGACATAAGAGGACATTTTAATACCGAAATATTAGGAAGCACACAATAAAATAACATTTTTAAAGTCAAATCTAGCTTTATGTTAAAAAAAAACTTCACTGCTCTGTGTTCCTTTTTTCTCATTTCAAAGCAGTCTAGTGGCCACATCACCCCACATGGGCACCAGTCCATGCCCCATGATTTGGGAACCTGCTCCTCCAAGCAGCCGCTTCGTAAATATTTGTTGAAATACTGAATTCCAGACTCCAGCTACATCTTCCTGAGCAAGACTGGGCCTGCAGCCTGTGATGGTGGGGTCTCCAGCCAAGTGTGCAGCATTCCTTAGTCTTTTTTTTTTTCTTTTTTT